TCATTCAATTAATGCATCTCTACCTTTAAATATCTACATATTAAACTTATGTTATTTGAAGTTAAAATTTGAAACATTAACGCCATGTTAATGATACTAAAATGGATTTCATACCAAAAAAAAAAAAAAAAAAATTCAAAATGATTAACTCGCAAGTTGTGAATTAATCACTATAGTCAATTACACATTATGTTCTAACATTGTTACTTTTAGTAGTAGCAACGTCACCTTGTTTTTGTTCCTTCAATAGGAGTAAGGTCAAAATGGCTTGCATTAAATTTATGATCGACAATAAATTAGTGAAAAAATAAATATATTTCGGTTCATCGTCAATGAATAATAGGTAATTCAATTATATGATATCGAACCCCTTTCTACGTTACGGTGGACCTCCACCTCATCTTAAGTTAATGGCCGGTCAAACACAATCGAAATAGGTTCAATGTTTTAGTGGCATGCCATCGAATTTTCCTGTCACGTTCAGTACTGGTGTGCTGCATGTAACTAGTGACCACCATGCAACCCTAAACTTGAAAAACACCAAAAAATAAACTTATACCTTATTTGAAGCTTCCCTAACTTTAATATCACCCTTCATATTAGGTATGTTTTCACCAATATAAGCGTATAAACCTTGTTAGGGTTGTAGAAACATGATGGTTTGTGAAAAAAGTCTAACTATGCTTGCATGAATGTATGTGGGATGTAGTGAGCAAATTTAATTTTTATTTTAATGTTTTTGTCATTAATAGTAATTACATACAAGGGTAAAATAGGCTGGGGTTCAAATAAAATCACGTGTTTCCGTATCTGCGAGAGGTTTTTTTTTTTTTTTTTTAATTTTTAAAATTTAAATTTATTTTAGAATAAAAAAAGATAATGGGTAGTTGCATTCCATAAAAATAGGTTCTATTATCTGATTTTTCTTTTAATTTTAATTTTTTTTAAATATGAAAAAGTGTGAATTTACTATATTATCATCATTTAATTAATAATTTTAATTCTTACTGTTTGCATTAACTAAGGGTAGTTTTTGGTATTTTGAATGTTTCACAATTCTTTGCCTTTTGTTTTATATATATAGGTAGATATAGATATAGATATAGATAAAACGGAGCCGTTAGGCCATCTCCAGCCATGGGCCATATCCCAAATATAACCCTAAAATAATGCAAAACTCATCTTCAGTCATGGGCTAAACAAAATTTTGGGCCACATTTGGCCCTTTAGCCCTCCAACTAGGCCACATTTAGCCCAACTTTGGCCTAGTCATAGGCCAAATTTTTTGTGGGCTCCATGCATGTGCTTTTATTGGTCATGACCATTGGATGTCAAACCATTGAAACCCATCCTTTAAAAAAAAATGTAGTCACCTTTTCAAATGTTTTAAGTGTTGTTTAAAAAAAATTATAAAAAATTCTTGGTCATATAATATTGTCTCTAAATAGTAGTTTAATTAAATTAAACAATACATAGTTGTGAAATATATGTGTTGTACTATAGTTTTTCTCAAAATAATAAAATATAAATGATCCTAAAATATAGCCCTGCATAACTGAAGATAAAAAAATTTAGCTCTATAATATTCTTTAAAAAATTAATATTTTAGAGGGTTAAATTTTTAGCTATGACTACATTTAGTCCCATGACCGGAGATAGCCTTATATCCAACCAACGGTTAATAATTGATGAAACAAGTCCGCACCACTCCGTAACTTTGGTCAGCAGCAGACTGCGAGTTCCCGCCACTTTTGCCCTTTCCTTCTCTCAGTGAAGACTGAAGAGTGAGGGCAGTTGTCTCAGAAGTGAAGATTGAAGATTGAAGATTGAAGAAGATGCTGTGGGTGGACAAGTACAGACCCAAAACCCTAGACCAGGCAATGGTCCACCAAGACATCGCACAAAACCTCAAGAAACTTGTAGAACCCAGACCCTCATGAATCTCTACTGGTTTCATTTCCCAATTTCTAGTTTTTATTTATAAATGAATTTTTGACATCTTGATCTCAAACAGGTCTCAGAGCAGGACTGCCCCCATTTGCTCTTTTATGGTCCTTCTGGTTCCGGCAAGAAAACCCTAATCATTGCCCTTCTTCGTCAGATTTTCGGACCCAGCGCCGATAAGGTCCCTTCTTTTGTAACTCACACTTCTTATTTTGTTTTAAATTTCTCCCAGCCCAGTAACAATTATCAATTTATGCGTATTTTGGCCCTTACCCTTTGTTTGGCTACTGAGAACATGTCTGAAGAGAACAAAAGCTTCTTTTGTGACGGATTATGGATTTTGAGAAATTCTTGTGGTTGGCAGGTGAAGGTGGAAAACAGGGCATGGAAAGTTGATGTAAGCTTCACCCTCTTTTTAATTCATGTGATTGATCATTCATGCTGCTTCTGTAGGAAATATTGTTATTTTTCATTAATATTTAGGTGAAGCTACATTGATTTATGTTTTATTGGATAATTACTGGTCATCTTTAGACTTTAGCAAATTCATTGAGCATGCTAAAGCATTACGTTGACAAATCATTACATACTTCAATGTGATATGAATATTCTACTTAGATTTCACTCTCTGTTCATTTCAGAAAACATGTGTTGCTTATTATTATTACTCCTTGTTAGTTTTCCCAAAAAAAGAACAGAGTTTTGTACCTACTTTTTTATTTTCAAAAGAAAAATCGTCTCTTGTTTTTTCTCTTGATAGAATCTTTGAACTTTGTTTTCATCCACATAATTGCAGCTTTTGGAAATGATTAAGATGTTGATGTAGGATGTGGGAGAATTGAGAATTTAGGTAGTTTAGCGGAAGCGAAAACAATGGAAAACAGAAAATAGAACAAAAGGGATAGGTCTGGAATCACGCCAGGGGTTTGGCTTCACACCAAGTAGTTTCCAATCTCTGGAAAATAAGCTTTTCTTTATATCTCAACAACTCCATTTTAAAGAACTACATCGGGGGTATATATAGCAAACTAAAACCTAGAGACAATAGGATAAAAATTCCTTACTAAAACAGAAATCCTAATCCACCAAGGAACTAATTCAAATCCTACTAAAAATCTGGAAACTAAAATCCTAGCGAAATCTGGAAAACTAGAGAATCTAGGAAACTAATAAATCAGGAAACTAGCTAATGATGTCCGCATCAGATGTCTTCCTTGATAAATGGCTTACACCCCCCCTTAGCTGAGTATAATGTATTAGGCGAAAATATTTATCTTTTCATGCTCGCTTTATTTCAAGATATTTTAGGTTTGTTGACTTTTAGTAACAATATTTATGTTTTATGATAGATTTGTATTTTGTTTTCTTGATATCATCCTTGTTGATTACATAGTACATGCATTTTTGAGCACCTTATAACTGGTATTTGGACTCCACTTTCTTATTTTATCCTTTAATTTTGTATTGCATTTTAACTAAAATGCTTCTGTGGTTTATTTTCAGGCTGGAAGTAGAACGATTGATTTAGAGCTGACTACATTATCAAGCACCAACCATATTGAACTGAACCCCAGTGATGCAGGGTTTCAGGACAGATATATTGTTCAAGAGATAATTAAAGAAATGGCTAAAAATAGACCCATTGACACAAAAGGGAAAAAAGGATATAAAGGTAGTTTTAAATAAGTTTACTTGCTGATCATTTATTAGTATTTCTTCTGTACATATACTTCAATGTATGCAGGTCGTATTTTTTTTATTTGGTTAAAATTTTCTCTTATTTGAATGAATTACGTGTTTATATTATGGTTATTTATATGGTTTCTCATCATTTTCACGGTACTGTGAAACTGGCATTGTATTCTCTTCCTTTTCCTCCTCAGCTTGCACCAAGAATTAAATAAAATGGAAAGTAAAAACTGCAGTTGGATGAAAAAGTATTTGGGTGTCCAAATGTTTAAGAGTGTATACTGATACATTGTCCTGTTTGCAATATCAGTCTTAGTGCTGAATGAAGTTGACAAACTTTCAAGAGAAGCGCAACATTCTCTTCGAAGAACTATGGAGAAATATAGTGCCTATTGCAGGCTAATACTGTGCTGTAACAGCTCTTCAAAGGTTACTGAAGCAATCCGGTCTCGGTGTCTTAATGTGCGAATAAATGCACCGACAGAAGAACAGGTTGAATTTTCTGTCTTCCAACTTGTATAATTGCTTGTGTTATATAAAAGATTGTCAAGTATGTTGACTTCCACTGTTAATTCGTGCATCTTTAAATGAATTAATTTTTTCGAGTGCCAGATTATGAAAGTATTGGAGTTCGTTGGAAAGAAAGAAGGGCTGCAGCTTCCTTCTGGATTTGCTGCTCGTATAGCTGAAAAATCAAATAGGAGCTTAAGGAGAGCTATATTGTCATTAGAAACTTGCCATGTTCAACAGTTAAGTTCCATAGTTCTTCTTATTGATCATCAGCTGCACCAAGCAGTTCTTTTTCTTCTTTTTCTTCTGTGCACCATGTAGACTTTGTGCATTCCTTATATCTAGTCTTTCTGTGTACTATTGATGTGGTTGTAGGTATCCCTTTACAAGTAACCAGGCAATACCCCCAATGGATTGGGAGGAATATGTTTCTGAAATTGCATCTGATGTAATGAAGGAGCAGAGCCCAAAAAGGTTTGGTTTTTCTACACTTTACAATATTGGCGTTTATTGCAATATTTTTGTCGTAGTTAGTTTGAAATTGTCGTTTTGTAGTTAATGATCAAATCCAACTCAATAAATTACAAAAAGATAAATGAGGGAATTCCACAGATTTGACGTGGTAGAATATAAGGGTGCCTTTCTAAGGGTAGGAGATTTTCCTTTTAATCAGTTTGATTAGTATTCTTATTTCAGGTCTATCTTCTAACGTTGGGTAGGGTAGTAGCTATGTCTTTAAAAGAGATATTTCTTCGGGTCATCACCTTGGGATAGTGTCAAAGTCTGGCTATCTTTATGGGCATCAGTTACTTTTGACTTTTGAGAGATTTCTTTTTCTTCTTTTATGCTGGATTGGCTAGCTGTGGTCTAGTGATGTTTGTTGCTTGTTTCTTGTATTTGCTTTTCTGTTTCTTTTGTGGTGTCTTCAACCACTTTGATAGATTGAAAAGCCATTTTATTGATTTAATTGTAACCTGGTAGTACATATCCACTTCACAACGCAAATTGGGCTTGGTTTTGAATGTGCTTCGAGTGGTGTGGGTTTTCCGTCATTACATTGATATGGGGCAGCAAAAAGGCATTTACTCTTTACCGGTCTGTGATATTGGATCTTATGTGGATTGTTTTTCTGAAAAAATACCGATAGGTTTTGATGATAGGATGGAGGAAGTGGATATATAGTGTGGAAAAAGTAGTAAAATTAGCTTCTTTTTTGGGTGTCTTTATCAAAGAATTTAGGGCTAATCCTTTTGGTATAATTATTATGATGAGTTTCTTGTCCATCCGGAGACTATGTTTTTCCATTAAACTTTCTTTTTGTCCATCTTTCTGTACCACCTGGAGTGCACTATGCTTATACTTCTGTGTTATCCATAACATAATTACTTTGCCACATGCCTTGACTTTGTGGTATCTTGATGTATGTATTATCCATCCTCACCCTTTCTCTTCTTTTCAACGTGTTACTGATTGTTAATCTGCCATTAGATCTTTGTCAGTCTCAATGTCTCATCTTCAAGCAGACTAAGTAGATAGTTATGGCTTCTCTTTCTGGCTGTGAAGTAGAATATTGCAACGTAGCCAAATTTGACATAACTTCTGTATATATGCTTGTTGGATTAATCTCGTGAGATGTACTCATTCTGCCATCACTTGGTGTCTAACCTCCTATGATGTTTTATCTACAAATGTGAAACTGTTGTATATCTAGAAAGTATGAAAGTGGGAGGTAAAAAAAAAAGGAATATCTTAGAAGCAAAAAGATGGACAAGCCTTGTGAAATTCATGGCAGCATGCATGGGTGCCATGTAGCATAAAATAGAATATGTATGTGCAGGATCATACTGTTCTCTTATCGAAGCGTCACCTTTTGTAACTTATGATTGAATTAATTGCATGAAAATATTGACCAGCAGGCCCTTGTTGACCATAATTCAATTATATTACGTGAAAGGATTTCACACATCCATATTGTTATTTTGTTGCATACAATTAGTGATGTCTAAAGTCTGAATTCTTTTCCTTTTATTTTCCTAACTATATTCACGATTATAGAAATAGGACAGATGATGCCTGACCTCTCATTTTTAATCTTCTAGTATTTCTTAAAACTATCTTATCAGAGATTGTTCTATTTGCTTCAGGCTTTATCAGGTGCGGCAAAAGTTGTATGAGCTACTTCTTAATTGTATTCCTCCAGAGATCATCTTGAAGGTAGAGATTTCTTTCACTTTGTTGTTTTTTACAATTTTTTTACCACACCTATTTTCTTTAGGCTTTATCAAGTGCGGTAAAAGTTGTATGAGCTACTTCTTAAATGTATTCTTGCAGACATTGTGTTGAAGGTATGGATCTTTCTCTCTATTATTTTGTATGATTCTTTTCCCAATTGATTTGAAGCTTCCAATTGCTTTTTCTCAGAGGCTTCTTTATGAGTTATTGAAGAAGTTGGATGCAGAGTTGAAGCACGAGGTCTGCCATTGGGCTGCATATTATGTAAGTATTTTGTTTATTTTGGACGAAAATGCATATTATGTAAGTATATAATCAAGTCTAGGTTAAAAGTCTTGATTCTGACAGTAGTTCTTTTCCACAATGTGGTTTTGATCATGCTTTATGTCTCTGAGCATCTATAACCCTTGTGAACTTGCAATCTCTTATGCTGTACAATTGGTGCCCATATACATGATTAAGAATCATTATCATACTGACCCAGCTACAAGTGAATCAAAGTGAGCAAGTCATTGATTTCGATTCACAATGTCCTAATAGTCATTTTCCTTCATCTTGAAAATATCCCCCATGTCCTAGTGATTTATATATACTAGTAGATGATGAAAAAAAGGCAGTACAGCTATTTGTTGTTAATTATATTATAGGGCAGTAGGGTTGGTGGAAGTAATCTGGTCATCAATTTCTGATGCAATGTAGGGTACTGGAGCTATGTCATGTTGGGGTAATAATATTGATCCGCTCCTAGAAAAATGGAAAAGAAAAGATAAAAAACCAAGGATGATTCTTCACTTCCTGTTGGTGTTCCCGTACTTTACTTTTGATAAACAGAAGCACAATTGAACAATTTGGATAAAGAGACTGTAAGGTTACTGAGTCGCATCAGAAATCTGGCAGTAAACAAATTTCATCACCTTTATCTTGTTAATGTGATGAACGCATTATGAGTAGCAGACTAGCAGGTTTTGTTGTCAGACGGAATATAAGCTTAGAAATAGTTTATTAAAGTCAGTATTTGATTACTGTAAATATTTTTACATAGGAGTTTCATTTCTCTATTTTACAGGAACATAGGATGCGTCTTGGGCAGAAAGCTATATTTCACCTTGAAGGTACTTTTATGTTTCTAGATGTTGGGTGAAATCATGATGAGGATGCATCTTTAGTGTTGTTTTGTGCTACTACTTTCCATAATGATGTTGTGTGCTCCCAACTTGGCGGTCTCATTTCATCTTAGATGCTTTTTCATCTTGAATCTGGAGTCTTCATATCCCCACTTATCAATCCTGTAAATGAGAGCTGCCCGATCTTGAAGCTTTAGTTGGAGGACGCAAATCTGCTTCACTTGGTTTGTTGTCGGTAAGAGATCTCTAATTCAACATATGTCAGAGTGGGAAGGTAAAGGCTGCTTAAGGTGTAGAAGTACCTCTTGGCCATTGTCTCAAGAGCAGCTACTGATGCTGGCCGTACATTTGATATGTTTGTACAACTAAGACAAAAATACCCCTAGAAGTCAAATTATAATATAGGCTAATAAAACACAATCATAAAGTAAAACATGTGCTCAAAATAGGTCCCTGCCAACACTTCCTTCAAGCTGTTGCAAAGATATCCACCAATGGAGTATTATTATTTCTTCACTTTCGGCTACTTCGACTTTTTGATATGGGCTAACATACGCTCCGAACGCGATGGATACTAGGATACGACATGAATCATTTTTCGCAATTTTCTTTTTCTTTCTCCTTTCTTCTCACACTTGTTATGTCTTTTCGCTTTTTTCTTCACATGAATCTATAATAGTTTGTGTGAAGTTTTTTTTTCTGGTCATCATATTTATATAGTTTATGGAATTACAGCTTCCTCTTTGGCGTGTGCTCATAAAAGATGCATTATAAGAAGTGGTCATGGGTCTCTAATGTTGTTTCTCACCGGTGATTTTTATTTTATTTTTCAGCTTTCGTGGCCAAGTTCATGAGCATTTATAAGGGTTTCCTCATTGCAGCATTTGGTTGAGCACCAGACTGGCATGATTTCCTTGAATCTAAAATGTTACTTTGAACATGATGGCAGTGAACTGTGTACATGTGTTACTATACATTATGGGAAGATTTTGTAATAGTCTCTTTTTCTCTTTCGTTGTTTTTCCTTTTCTATTTGAAAATTGGCTGTACCTCCCGAAGTTAAGATCTTTGCCTGGCTGTTTCTACAGAAATGGCTAAATACTACAGAAAAGTTAGCCAAGTTCATGGACATCAGATGTCTCCATTTGTAATCAAAGTGATGAACTCTTTAATCATCTCTGTTTGGAGTGACATTTTGCCCAACAAATCTGTTCTCAACTTTCACCCTTCTTAAGCTAAATATTCCTGTAGGCATTAATATTGTTTATTAAGAGTCTACCTCACCTGATTGTGAAAAAACTGTTTGCTGGCAAATATGGGTTCAAAGAAACTGGTATATTTATTTCCTCCATATTACATGATGTCAAATTGTCTTCTACATGAACATTATTTACTGGACTTTTGGAATCATCATAACTCCTTTACCTTAAAATCTAAGGGAGAAAAAGAAACCATCCCACCACCTTGTATAACATTAAATGAAAAATCCGTGATCCTCCATTTTGGAAACTTAATTTTCACAGCTCAGTATTGAACTGCGGGAAAAGCTAGTGCGGGTTTAGAAATGTTTTTGGTCATGTTCGTGTTGCAGGATCGATGCCAATTGTTTTTCTCTACTTCAGAGGTTGAAGCAATTGCTCTTAAATTTGGTCTGTAATGGGCCATTCATCTGAATCCATACCATCTATTAATAGATTGAAGATTATACACAAATACTCCTTCAGCTACTTCAAAATGGAAAAAGACCTCCCTAGCGTTTATTTTCTTTCTGGTTAATGATATTAATTTCTTGTGTACACAACCAGAATGTTTTCAAGAAGCAAATATAGTTGCGGATGTCTTGGCTAATTTAGGACATTCGGCCTCCAATACAACAATTAGTTCCTAATCTTCTCTCTGTTTCTAGTAGTCAAGTTTTGATATTTGGAGTGTACGGGATCTCAAGCACTCTTTAGTGGGCTGGACTGGATGAGACGTTTCAATTAAAATGAACATAGGTCCAGTCTGCTTAATTGCATCACACTGTCAGAATTCTTGTTATAGTTTCTTTTCTGATTTCGAGTTAAGCGCTCTTTATTGGCACGACACTTACGGATACAAATTGATGCCACTTTTAAAAGAAGTAAAAATTTACGTTAGATTTTCTCTTTAAAGAAAATTTCTTATTTCTTTTCAATATGACATTCGTTAATCCACTTTAGAATTAAGCTCACATTCATGCAAGAATAAAATGAGCCCACCGAATAAGGGTCAATGGTATGATAATTTGTAACTTTAAGGTTGATCAGTGCCAATTTTAACAGATGGGAACCAAAGGGGGCCCCCCCAAAAAAAAAAAAAGGCCACATGAACATTGCTGATGTCTGCAAAAGAGTTCCAACATATTTACCCAAAAATAAACAGTTTTTCAACATGTAAGTTCATAGGGCCAGCGGCAAAAGGCAGATCTTCCTAACAATTATAGATTACATATTGACATTGTAACCATTCTCCATGGGTAAATGAAATCTGATCAATCACCTCCCACCTGTCTCTTCCACGAGTCTTCCACAATCAATTCATCTACTCCCCAGTCCTCGTAACTGAAAATTTCACACCCCATTAACATTTTTCCTAGACAATTAAGTTACAAGTTACAAAGCCAAGACAAAAAAGTCATAGGCGAAAATAAAACCAGAACCTCACCTTCCATCGGGCAGGTAGCGGCGTATGGTAAAGGGTATCTTCCGCTCACGAAGCTCCTTCATAGCAATCTAAGCAATTCAAAATAATAGAGATTACATTCGTGTAGCATAAGGGAACAATATTTATTGTACAATTTAGGGAGCAATTGGAGTTCACTTATATACCATCTTTTCATTTGTAACTAAGAAATTATTAATATGGTTCAATATATAATAAAATAGATCAATCATCATGTAGTCCACGTGGCCACTGTTTGAAACAATTTAAGAGTAGAAAATGAATGAAAATTGTTTCCACCCAACACATGACTGTAACAACTGGAAACAACAAAGGAGATCCAACTAAGGGTACTTAATACCATCCTAATTCTGGGTGCCATGGCCATTGGCCTAACATGTCTTCTAAATCAATTTTCCAAAGCATGTGTCACATTCATCTTCTTTCCAATTAATGTAGTCATTAACATTATCTTTACTGCTCTGATGTTCTTCCTAGCTGTTAATCTAGATAACTAGCAGTCCTTACTTGATTATAGGCTCTATTACACTTAGAGAAACAATCTCATTTATAGTAACAGTGAGCCACACTTTAAAAAGAAAAGAGCTACTTCCTAGCCCCTCACCCCCTACAACCATCTAGCTATATATGACAGTGAGCAAACCATCTACCTATATATGAGCATCTGAACTAGAGAGGCCAGACACTCACTCCACGTCACAACTATATATACATAAGCAACTACATACACCAAATTCTTGACCCTCCAAGCATAGTAAAAGCATATGAACAAAAAGGCAAGATCAACTAACTCCATTGATCTGTTCACACTTCATAGGGAGAGAGGACACAACAAACAACAATTTATTAAACTGAAACATTAAAAGCATAAATTTGTTCTCATGATATATACTCACACAATTCCTTTACAGTCATGCTTCCATATTATCCATCATGTCCTCCTCTCCCAAAAATTAACCAAGAAACAAACCATCTCCTGACATTTATTCAACAAACTTATTACTCTTTAGTTTCCTCTTCTTATTCCCAAACCATTAACCTTAAAAATCCATCCTATATGCAAGAAACCGACTTACAAACATTAATTAATTCAACATTGTTATTGCAGTGCTTAATGTAACATTCATTGAATTGGGGAAAGATTACATCATGCACTTTCTTTGCGATTTTAGAAGCTCCTTTTAAAGAAAGATAAAAATTATTCAACATTGATATTCTCTGTACTACCAGAATCAGAATTTTATTTTAGCATTGCATGATTTCATGTTATCTGTGTACATCAACATCACACTATATTCAATTAGCTGCTATCAGGATAATACGCACTCACAACACAGCACTATTGGTCATAATGCCCTTATGCAACACACTTGCTATCAATTTTTTTTTTTTTTTTTTGTTTGTTTGTAGTGTCACTATCTAGACTGCCTTTACTGGACACCTTACTGGGAACCTCTATAATATAGGTGAGATAGTCAACAAGGTCATTAGTATTTGTGAAACATACAGCATTATTCACACTTCCGTTTTAAGATATAATCACTCCATAAGTTCTAGTCCTTTACTTTCACCTCTTATTCAAACTGTTCAAATGAGTATTTAAGAAAGCAATAATAAAAAATCTGATATGCAAGGACCTGATTTTGTAAGCAGCAAAATAACATGGTCAAATAGGGATTGAAGCTTGATAACTGACATTCTAGCATTTTCAAGGGAGGGGTAACTAAATTGCTAATGTATTTACAAGGGATAAAATCATATACAGATAGCTTCGGGGGAATGTTACCTCAAGTGGGTCAGTCTCACCCTCCAATTCAACCATCACCGGGGCATTCATGCTGGTCAAAAAAATAAAATTTGTGATGGGTCAGAGCCAAAATTAATCATAAAATTCAAATTCAAATTTTAGACTGAAAAGGAAAGGTTTGGAATTTGAAATACCTAATCTGCAGTGCACGGGTACCCAAGATTCTAGCACGTTCATATTTGGTCATAAATTTTGAGGTTTTCCGAGGTCCTTCCGCCTGTGCTTGCTCCTCTTTGTCTTCAGCTTCAATGGCGTCTCCTGGAAGATCATCACTGTTAATATTCTCCACATCCTCCTCTGCACCTTCCTGTCCATTATTCCATTATTCTTCTTAAAAAACTCTCTCTTTCATATTAAGATACAGCGAACTAACAAAACAAAAAGAAAAGCTCACTTCAATTTCTGGCTCTGGTGGCTCATCTTCATATCTGCAATAGATTAAAAGTGAGTCAAATTCATATACACAAAACACAGAAACAACCACAGTTTGTTGACCAAAAAAAACCACAGTTTAAAAAGAGAGGCAGAGAGAGAACCCCATATCCATGTCGTTGTAATCCTCGTCCGCCATTGTTAATGAGTGAACAAGTTCTGAGGGGTTGAGAACTTGAGAGAGAGAGAGAGAGAGAGAGAGTAATGTCCGAGGCAGGGGACTGGGTTTAGGGTTTGAAATAAGGTTTTGGATGATTCGATGAGGGGATGACCACCCTAATAAATAATAAGAATATGCCGCTTTTTTCAAAGGAAAGACCAAATTTGATTTTTCATTTTTAAAAAAGGAACGTGTTGTTGAAAACGGCGTCGTTTGCTACTTATTTTTTAATTAATTTTTAACTACAGCAACGCCATATTGGGCCTCTTCTTCCCCTAAACACCGAATTTCCTGAAACCAAATTGAAGTCTGCTCCAGCGACCCAACCTCAATCTTTGTATCTCTTTTCTCTTTGGCGTTCCGAATAGCTCTAGCTCAGCTCAGCTCAGCCCAGCTCAGCTTCAATTGTAAGTAAGCTCGTTCCTGTATTGCATCTCTCTCTCTTCTTCTTGTTTTTTTTTGTTTGTGTGTATTGCAGAAGTATACTTATATCTATTGTTTTGAATCCAGAAAAATAAGAACATTAATAGAATTTTCACTTGTTAGTTCTTATGTTTGTGCTCTCTGAAAACAAGACAAGAATTGAGTAATGAAAATAGTTGGTGCAAATTGCAGTGCCCTTTTCAGTATTTGACACCCAAATATATTGTTGTTCTTGCAATTCTTTATTTTGGTGCTACAGGGATACAGGATTTAATGCTGAAGTTTCCTGAAGGCCTCTCTGGGTCTTTAATTCTTGCCTAGAAAGGAAAATACCAAGTACCAAAACAAGACCCAAAATACCGGAGCATAGTCCTCACTTAGAATCTAATTCAGATTGGATGTCAAAGCACAAGTGGGTTTCTCAGTTTCTCAATCTGATTGCTTAATTATTAATAAGATTTTTCTTGTCATTGTTTACTGAATGATGACTCTACATTGTACAAAACGCAAACCCAAGTGGAGTGGAATAGGTTTCAAATCATTTTACACTTTGGCTGCACTGAGGATACTTTTGTTCTTTACCCTAAACATTAAAAAAACCAAAAGAAATAGGTCCTCTACTCATAAATTTTGTGAGATCTGTCAGTACGGATCTTAAAGAAGCGAAAGGAATGAAAATAAAAATAAAAATAGAAGATGCCTTCTTGCCATGCTGGGGTGAAAATAACTAACTCCAAATGTTCATATGGAAATGTAGGTGTGGGTGTGAATAAAGAGATAAAGAGATACCTGAAACAGGAAAGCACAGAGTCATTGTTACGGATCCATCCCCCCCAGAAAATTGTCATACATCCATCAAGGTTAGTGTGGAGTTGAGTGATGAGAACATGTGGCGAAATCTATCAGGGAACCTAGAAACAGAAATTAAGTTAAGGTATAGTACGGACGTTTGGCCTTTTCCACTGCCCTTTATTGTAGCAACTGACAAGCATACCAAGCTGATGAAGAAGCAGCTGAAAATAAGAGTGGAATAAAATGGCTAATGCTTTTGCATAGATCAAAAACTACAAAAGATTAGGGTCAAAAATAACTTTAATGTCAATAGATTATTGTTAATAGTTTGTCGTATTTATTATTCATTGTCTATGTTCCATTCCATATTCTTGGACAGGTTGAAACAAATAGAGCAAAATACACCCATGTGATTTAATGTAACTGAGGACAGATTTTGTTTTTGCTCGACATTTGGATTGTAATAGATACCAGCATGACTGAAAGGACATCTCCTGCCCAAGCCAAATGGAGAAAAGTGGCTTACGGAGGGATGCAACCGGGGTTCGATGACAATCACACTGATGAATCTTTTCTTGAAGAAATGGTCACAAATGCCAATGTGAGCAAAAGGGACATGCTAAAAGTGATGCAGGATTCAGTTTCCATCTCCCAATATCTGTGCATTGTAGCTCTCATTGGTTTGGTTTGGATCTACACCCTCAAATCAACTCTTAATGAAAATTCCCTTTTGCTTCTTGATGTCACCCTTCTTGGATTGGGTTTTCTTATTCTCCTCCTCACTCAAGAAATGTTTTCCCTCAATCTTCTCTTCCATTACTTCCTCAATATTTCTTTCTTTACCACGGGCTTGTATCTTCTGGCTCCCATTTATCAAACTCTTACAAGATCAATTAGCTCAGACTCCATCTGGGCAGTAACAGTTTCACTCCTTGTGCTTCATCTTTTCCTCCATGACTACTTTGGATCCACCATAAGAACCCTAGGGGCTGCAAACAATCCAACCTTAACAAGTTGCATCTCTTTAAATGCTTCTGTTGTGGCCTCAGTTTTTATTGCTTCACGCCTTCCATCAAGTCAGCTTGTGTTTGCCATGATGCTCTTCTCCTTGCAAGTTTTCCTTTTTGCTCCATTGGTTACTTACTGTATTAGGGAGTATTCCTTCCGTCTGCACCTTTGGTGTTCTTTTGGTCTGATGATTGCGACCTTGGCTTTAGTTTATACCCTGCACTTGTTTCTTTTTGTCGTGTTTTTAGGGTTGTTGGTTTTTGTAACTGTGGTCTGTCCATACTGGCTTATACGAATGCAAGAATACAAATTTGAGATAAATGGCCCTTGGGATGAGGCTAAGCTTTGTTTTGATATAGTAGATTGAGATTTTAATGGCCATTTGACTGTTCGTTGTAATATTTGGAATGTCAATGAAGAAAATTCAATGTTGTATGAACTTTTATCTTCTGTATTTTAGTCACCAGCAATATGCAGCCTACCAGTTCATGATGGATGGATTTCATAATATTCATGTTCTTTTTTTCTTCAGGGAGATTAAAGTTGGCATATCTTGTGTTTATGTTAGTAGGAAGAGGCAATACATTATCCTCACACGATAATTACACACACTTTCTAGGACTCTATTTTGATAAGTAACAGCTGAAAATATTTACTTATTTGGAAACTAGCAGCTTTACCCTCAGTTCACCTACTTTTTGGAAAAATGCCCTCTTTATTAAAATTTTGGTTAAATGACCTCTATAAAAACTCCCTGTAGGCCACGTATCAATTTTTTTGCGCCTTGACTTGCATCTCATCTAATGTTGAGGATGTACCTTTATTGCATCGGACTTGTAAAAAAATTATTGTAAAAAATTTCAGTTTTAGAGTCATTATAGAGGCTAATAACTTATTTGAGTAATCTCCCAATGTCTTTGATCTCTGTGGATTTGTTCTTGCATTTGCTATTTGGATTTTCTGTAATGGCATATATGAACTTGTTATTTCTTGATTGATCATGCATTATGATTAGATCATAGTTAGCAAAGTGTTTATTGTTGTGGTGAGAAATTGACACAATGGTCTGTATATTGCAATTCTATTGCTTTTATTGTTGTATTATTGATGTTTCGTTGTTGTTTCATCATTGGGGGTTTATCCACTGGTTTTTTTTGGTCGAAACCATTGGTTTATTGGTAGCTTAACATGTGCTAACAAAGCGATATTTCCTTATGGTTAGATATGGAGACAATTGGCATTCTGGTTTGCTACAATGGAAAATGGGTAACTTCAAAGAAGATGTGTACATACGAAGGGGGTGACTCAAAAGGCATAATAGTATCGCGAACCATCACATTTGCTGAGATTTTGGACCGGGTGCATAAGATTGGTAATACAAACATCAGTGAAGACAAGCTTTGTTTAAAGTTCTCAGTTCCGGTATCCTCGAATGAGTGTAAACACATCAAGATTGAGGACAATGATGATATTCTATTTTTTATTAAGTACAATTGTGATGTATTACCTGCAAAAGTAGTTCCTTTATTGGCGAGCATAGAAGATAGAGGAGTGAAAAATCTTGTAGGTGACAGTATGCATATTACGATGGATAGTAGTCGGATGGCCCCTCTTCAGTTGCCATAATCAAAAGTAATGAAGTAATTGGGAATACTACAAATGTTGGTCATGTGTCAAGTGATGTTGGGACAGAATATTTAGACACAATTGATTTTATAGTGTGGAGGAGATGCATGGTGGTGATATTGGTACATAAATTAATCAAGCGCAAATGGGTGAACAAAACATGGAAAATTTGGGTATTGTGAATGATGAAGCAAAAGATTTGACACAGGGTATTCACGAAGTAGTTGGGATTCGAAATTGGAAGTTGGTCAAATTTTCTCTAGTAAGGAAGCTTTGGTCAGCAAGTTACGGTTGGCAGCATTGAGAGGCCACTGTGAATTTAGGGTGCAACATTCTTGCAAGATGGGATTGGTTGTGTTTTGTTGTCAAAGTCCATGCTCATGGCAGCTTCGGGCATCTAGGTATGGAGAAAATAACTTTATGATTGCTAAATATAATTCGGCTCATAAATGTGATAGGAGGTTTATAAATGGCAAGCATCGTCAGGCAAGCGCTAAACTCATCGCTAATAAAGTGAAACGAAAGTTTAAGGATACTTGCACAATATACATGCCAAGTGATATAATGAGAGATGTGAAACACAACTTTGGTGTCACCATTGATTATTGGAAAGCTTGGAAATCGAGAGAATTAGCTCTAATGTCCATTAGAGGTTCTGCAGAGGAGTCATATTATCTCCTTCCTGCTTATTGTTACGAATTAGAGCGTGTGAATTCCAGCACAAAGACACATCCACACCGATGAAAACAATCGCTTTATGTTTTTTTTTATGGCTGTTGGCGCATGTATTAGAGGGTTTATGTCTTCGTCGCCGATGCATTCGATAGTAATCGCAATATATATCCTCTTGCTTTTGGGATTGGAGATTTGGAGACAGATATATCATGGCAATGGTTTTTCAGTAAACTTCATGAAGTCGTTGGCGAGTGTCCCAATCTTGTGATTGTTTCTGATCAAAATGTTAGTATAGAGAACGTGTGGAACAAAGTTTTCCCAATAGCGTAGCATGGCATTTGCGTTTATCACATGAAGGAGAACATGAAATGCACTTGCAAGTTGAAAAAATGTGATAAAATGCTACTATACTTTGAACATGCTGCAAAATCTTATACTATTGTTGAATTTGATCGTTATTTTCACATGATCAAGGGAAATGAATAGATTGCTAAATATCTTGAAAGTGTAGGATTACACAAATGGTCAAGAGCTCACATGGATGGACACCGATACAATGTAATGACAACAAATATTGGGGAGTCAATCAACTCGATCCTTCAATTTGCAAGAATGCTGCCAGTGGTGCAGTTGATAGATGAAATCATCAATCTGCTTGTAAAATGGTTCAGCAAACGTCGTGAATTGGCTTTGAAATGCACATCAACATTGTGCCCCGAATTTGGCAACAAGAAGCTGAGAAATAGGTTGGAAGATGCTTCACGGAAGAATGTTGTGAAACTCAATCACATAGAGTATAATGTTGTGGATGGTGATATGGACAACCTCGTACATTTTACGAACAACACTTGCAGTTGTATGAAGTTTCAACATGAGCAGCTCTCTTGCAAGTGCGTAGTTGCAGTTTGTCGCTTCTTGAAACTAAATATATACTCCAAGCGTTCTCGGTATTACACTAAAAAAACATGGTTGGATGCTTATTTTGAATTTATCTACTTGGTACAACCTCAAGAGATTTGGGTGATTCCTGAAGATGTCCAAAGTCAAGTTGTGCTACCTCCAATTGCAAAGGTCATGTCAGGACGACAGAAGAATCAAAGGATTTCCTCACAAGGAGAGAGCACCGTTAGAAGAAAGTGCTTAAGAAGAAGGTGCTCAATGTGTGGTGACATAGGCCACAATAAAAGCACTTGTAAAGAGCATGTTCCACTTGCCAATGTATCTTAGGCATTTTGCTTTCATGCTTTCATGTATCTTAGACTGTCAATTGTTGTATTGCTATTCCGTTGGTTACTGTGTTGCTGTCGAATTTTATCAAATTTGGATAGTTGGGGATGTATTGCGTTTCTATTGCTTGTTTATTTCCATGTACCAAATGAAAATGCATGGAAAGGTACTTCATATTTTTCCATGTACCACATGAATATGCTCACCACAATTCCTTTCAATGCAATTGTTAGCCACTTATTGTCGATATACTTATTTCTATATGGTTATCTGGTGTTTTCAAAAATTATTGTAAGGCCCTGTTTAGTATCCTACTCAAAAAAGTAAACTGAAAAACTATGATTCTTTTTAAAAACATGAGTTTTCAAAAAGTGATTCGTGGGGCTAACTGATAAGTTGACACAGACAGATCATTAGAAATTACCTCACTTGATTAGGGCACTGGCAGGGCAGAGGGGGGTATTGCATCGAACTCATCCATACAAAAATCACTGTCATTATTTTCATATACAGGCGACTGGTCACTTGCTTCAGTATGACCGGTCGTTTCGACACCGAGAGCACCTGCTTCATCTCCAGATATGGGTGACCGGTCGAGTTCCAAATGGCGATCAATCGTTTCTTCACAGAGGCCACAAGTTTCATCTTCAGATATGGGCGACTGGTCACTTGCTTCAGTGCGACATGTCGTTTTCTTCTCGAGAACATTATCTTCAAATACATCATAATCCAATCCAAGACTCTCCAATTCACTCCCCCTCTCCCCCTGAATTGGAGAGGAGGGAGAGATATAATATGGCACTTCTTCATGGAATGTCACGTCCAAAGTAACATGCACCTTCTTCCCATAATCCAATTCTCGAGAACAGTATCTTTAAACACATCATAATCCAATCCAAGACTCTCCAATTCACTCCCCCTCTCCCCTTGAATTGGAGAGGAGGGAGAGATATAATATGGCACTTCTTCATGGAATGCTACGTCCAAAGTAACATGCACCTTCTTCCCATAATCCAATTCTCGAGAACAGTATCTTTAAACACATCATAATCCAATCCAAGACTCTCCAATTCACTCCCCCTCTCCCCTTGAATTGGAGAGGAGGGAGAGATATAATATGGCACTTCTTCATGGAATGCTACGTCCAAAGTAACATGCACTTTCTGGGTAGGTGGATGATAGCACTTATAACCCTTCTAAGTAGAAGAGTAACCAATAAAGACACATCGCAGAGCAAGGATCAAGTTTACTCTGTTGATGAGAGTAGACATGAACATAGGCAACACACCCAAAAGTTTAGGGGGCAACTTGGAGACTGAGACAGGGGAACCATGGTCACCAAACACATCATGTGTAGTCTTGAAATCAAGAACACGGCTAGGAGTATGATTAATCAAATAGGCAGCAGCTAAAACAACATACCCCCAAAGATGATGGGGAACACACATGTCTAACATAAGGGAGCGGGCAACTTCAAGTAATTGACGATTCTTGCATTTAGAAACATCATTCTGCTGAGGAGTAAATGGGGTTGTTGTTTGGTGAATAATACCTTGAGCACGGAAGAAAGATGCCAAAGTGTTATTCACATATTCCTAGCCGAGTATGAAACTGAGTAGACACCATAGTACAGAACTCTGGAAGGATGAAAGCAACATTATCTTTATTTTTCCGCAAGAAAACCCAAGTGAGTGGGGTACAATCATCAATAAATGTGACGAACCAACAAAATTAGTTCGAAGTAATGCGAGCCGGACCCCACACATCAGAATATACTAAATCAAAAGGCTTTACAACCTTATTGTCACTCAAAGGAAACACAGTACGATGACTCTTGGCCAAACTACATGTCTCACACTTCAAACTGGACCCATCACAAGAGTGGAATAAAGATGGAAACAGACACTTAAGGTAGCCAAATGACGAGTGTCCCAAGCGATGATGCCATAACCAAATTTGTTGTTTGTCTTTGACACTCCAACTTTGAACAGTATTGACGACACGATCACAAACTGATGTAGAAGGCAATGTCAAATAATATAACCCCCCTATCCGTTTACCATGCCCAATCGTCTCGTGATTCTTGAGATCCTAAAAAGAGTAATGCGTAGGATATAAAGTAACAAAAGCATTAAGTGTATCAAGTAATGGATCAACATATAACAAGTTACAATGGATATTGGGAACTAGTAACGCACAAGACAATGACAGAGTAGGAGTGAGAGAGATTGTGCCCTCACCAGTAATTGGAGAGGGCAAGCCATTAGCACTAGTTATGTATGAGTCACGGGTGTTACTAGAAAACTCATCAAAAAATTTAGTATCATAAGTCATGATCAGAAGCACCAGTGTCAATTATCCAAATATTGAAGCCAGTACCTGCTATAGAATCAGAAACACAAATTTGCAGAGGCAGTAGCAACAACACTAATAATGGAGTTATCACCCATGATTGCAGCAGAAACTCAACAGATCACGGCAGAGTATACAATGAAACACAGCAGATGCTCGAAAACAGGCATGAACACAGCAGAGTACACATTGGAACACAACAAAGGCACAAATACGGCAAATGCACGAAGACATGAATGACATGAACACAGTAGAGGCACAAACACTACAACACAACATACAAACCCAGGAGGGCACACACAGCACAAGTAGAGAAAAAAATATGGGGATAGAAGGTATTTATAGTACAAGGATGTAGCCCTAGTAGGGTCAAACTAGGAAACAAGATAAAATCCTAATTACACAATATTTGTATAAAAGGAAAGAAATATAATCATAATAAACTAGGAAATAAATATCTTAATTAAGCTAGGATCTCGCTAACAGAAAGTACATGTGATTAGCGCATCAGCATAATGTATTGCCTCTTCCTACTAACATAAACATAAGATATGCCAACTTTAATCCCATGAAAAAAAAAAATGAATATTATGGAATCCATCCATCATGAAATGGTAGGTTGCATAGCAATATGCAGAATAGAAATGTTACTAAACATGATTGATGGATGGTAAGAGACACAAAAGATAAAAGTCTATATGACATTCCAGATGTTACGACAAACAGTCAAAAGAGCATTAAAAATCTCAAACTCTAGTATTGACGACAAAGAGCCTTCATCCATCTTTAGTATTAAAGCTTTTATCCCTGCATCTGCATGACCCAGATGAGAAGAAGACTGGATGACCTAAGTGAGAGAAGATGACTAGATGACAGAGGAAATGGAGATTTGGAATCACAACAATTAATGAAAGATAAGAAAATCACTAAAAAGGAGATGGAGTGCAAAAAAGAGAAAAGAAGAGTGCCAAAATCACATTCCAAGGCAAACTTAAAAAATTAAAAACCACTTGAACCCAGAACCTAAGAAGTTTTAGGGCCCGTTTGGTATCTTACTTGGATCCAATTTATAAACTCAAAAACATATTTGCCCTAAAAAGCTGTTTGGTAGGCCCATTTTTTAAAAATTCAAACCCAAAATAAATTCAAAAACACCCTTATTATTAAAAACAAAGAAAGTGAGGCTCTCTCTCTCTCTCTCTCTCTCCTCCCTTTGTCGTCTCTCTCTATCTCTTGAGCACCACCAAAATTGATTGGGTTTATGCCTCACATCTTTTTCCTTTCTTTTCTTAATTTCAATTTGGGGATTGGGTTTATGATTTTCTGATTTTAATTTCAAATTTTTTTAGATCGATATTCTCCTGATATACATGCCAAGTCTAAATATCTCATTAGCCATTATGCGTCAACTCATCATTTGTCTAAGTCATATGCATCATATTTGTGTCAATTATCTAGTGTATGTGTGCCAACTAAGCTGCAAGATGCTTTATCTAACCCCAAATGGATGGATGCCAAGAATGTTGAAATGAATGCCTTGAACAAGAATAATACATGGGATTTAGTTCCTTTGCCACGAGAGAAGAAAGCTGTTGGATGCAGATGGGTGTTTACTTTGAAGCATAAAGCTGATGGTTCCATTGATTGTTACAAGGCTAGATTGGTAGCAAAAGATTATACTCAAACCTATGGAGTGGATTATTTGGAGACCTTTGCTCTAGTGGGAAAGCTCAATACTGTGCGTGTACTATTGTCCCTGGCTGTTAACCGAGACTGGCCGTAATTACAATTCGATGTCAAAAATGCGTTTTTATATGGCGACCTCAAGGAGGAGATTTACATGGATCTCTCTCCTGGTATTCTTGTAACCTCTAAGGAGGGTGTCGTGTGTAAGCTGCGAAAGTCTTTATATGGATTGAAGAAATCTTCAAGAGCGTGATTTGGGAGATTTGCAACATCTATGAAGAAATTTGGGTATGTGCAGAGTAACTTAGACCATACTTTGTTTCTAAAGCATCATAAATGTAAATTGACAGCTTTAATTATTTATGTTAATGATATGATTGTGACTGAGGATGATCAGGCAGAAATACAAAATCTTCGGAAGTATTTGGCTTCCGAGTTTAAGATGAAATCATTGGGTGATTTGAAGTACTTTCTTGGAATTGAAGTTGCCAGATTTAAACATGGTATCTTTTTGTCTCAAAGAAAGTATATTTTGGAATTACTTTATCAAGACTGGAATGTTGGATTGTAAACCAATTAATACCCCTAGTGAACAGAATCATAAGTTGGGGTTGTATCCTGATCAAGTCCCTACAAATAAAGAGCATTATCAACGACTTGTGGGGAAATTTATTTATTTATCTCATACACGTCCTGATATTGCATATGCAGTGAGTGTAGTGAGTCAGTTTATGCATTCTCCTACTGAAGGTCATATGGGTGCTGTGATGCGTATTTTGAGGTATCTGAAAGTAACTCCTAGAAAGGGGTTAATGTTTTGCAAGTATGGTTATACAGATGTGGAAGGGTATACGGATGTTTATTGGGCTGGTTCAATCACTGATAGACGCTCTACATCTGGGTATTTCACATTTTTTGGTGGTAATCTTGTTACTTGGAGGAGTAAAAAGCAAAAAGTGGTGTCTAGGTCCAGTGCCGAGGCCAAGTACTGTGGGATGGCTCAAGGTGTGTGCGAGTTACTATGGTTGAGAAGATTGTTGAGAGATCTTGGGTTTGGACCCCAGAAACCCATGGATTTGTATTATGATAATAAAACTGCAATTGCAATTGCGCATAATCCTGTGCAACATGATCGTACAAAGCACGTGGAGGTTGATCAACATTTTGTTAAAGAGAAGTTGGTTGCTGAAATTATTTCTTTTTCGTTTATATCATCTGATATCAACTGGCAAATGTTCTTACGAAAGCTGTGTCTACTACAGTCTTTCTCAACTCGCTTGACAAGTTGGGCACGCGTGACATCTTTGCTTCAACTTGAGGGGGAGTGTTAGCGAGATCCTAGCTTAATTAAGATATTTATTTCCTAGTTTATTAGGATTATATTTCTTTCCTTTTGTACATATATTGTGTAATTAGGATTTTATCTTATTTCCTAGTTTGACCATACTAGGGTTACATTATTGTACTATAAATACCTTCTTTTGGAGAATGAAATACAACCTGAAAAATATTCTACCCATATTGTTTGACTCTTTCTAGGACTTCAGGGTGTCTAACATGGTTCTTATGGAGTGGCCAAGGAAAAACATGGTTTTTTTATAGAAATGTGAGTATTAACAAGTTTCTTTCTGTAATACCCCAAAAATTCAAAGTGGATTTTTATATTTTAGTCAAAAATAATATTTTGGTGGACAATGATTATGGGTATTTTATCAAGTGATTTTGGATGGAGATTATTAAATTAAGTGTGTTTAATTTCAAGTTGGACAAAATGACCAAAATACCCTATGTGTGAAAAATTACCAAAATACCCTTGTAGGCTAAAAAAAAAAAACTGAAACGTGGAGGGCATCAAACCACCCTCCTCTCATTCTTCCCCTCTTGCCTCAAGCTTTCAAATTTGCCATTATGAAAGGATGAGTCACCTAGTCTAAAGTGGTGAGTCACCTAGCCTAAGATTCTTCAATCATGAATTTATTCTCTTCCTCCTCATTCATTGTATCATTACTCTTCCTCATTCACAATATTTTCATCCTCGTTCTTCTTTTGTTCCTCTTCAAATTCCAAAATTCGTCACTTCCTTGGAGCAGCCGAGAACTCAAATTTCGGAAGCTCAAATGAGAAAACTTCCTTCACAAAAGTTGTTCATTTACGTGATTCCTATAACATACTCAAATTTCGGAGGCTTTGAAAAGTTGGTATGATCACAATATGTTTACCATTTTTAGATTTCGCAGTAGTATGCTCGATTTCAATATGTTTCTATGATCTCATGTACTCAAATGACTTCGGTTCCTTCATCAAAGTTGTTCGAAATTCTGTCTATTAAAACTTTAGGTTGATCGGACTTCTATGGCCACCATGGGAACGTTTAGAGTGGAACTGGTTTATAGTCTTCGACCCTAGTTTCTTCCCTCGTTTTCAGTCCAAAACACTCATTTTGGAAACTCAAAACACTATGGATTCTTCATGATAGTTACTCCAAATTCTCCTCTTTATAACATATCCAAAGATGTGTACTTTCTCTCAAATGGCTTGTTACTTGTCATTCAATTGATCAAATTAGCCACTATCATCTCAAGTAAATGATTCTTTGAAGGTGTTCTACTCTGCTTACTTTCGAGGATGAACCCGCACAAGGTTAAGCTTCCATGGTTTTATCGTTCCCCTTGCAAATAAGAAAAAAAAAAATACAAATATAACCAAATAAGTGATTTAATTGGCAAATGCCATGACAGATATGTATTGCATATGTATTGCACATGTATTGCACATGTATAGCCCTTTATTGCTTGTGTATGCCCCCATATATCCTTTTTTTAAAAGTCTGTTAGAATAAATTTATAGGGGGCGTATGAAGTTTGTGTATTGCCATTGTATAACCTTTTATTGCTTGTGTATTGCCATTGTATAGCCTTTTATTGCTTGTATATTGTTAATGTATTGCGGGCATATCTTTTTTTTTTTTTCAAGTCTATGTTGGAATAAATTCATAGGGGGAGTATGGAGTTTGTGTATTGCCATTGTGTAGCCCTTTATTACTTGTGTATTGCTACTATATTGCCCTCGTATATCCTTTTTTTATTTTTATTTTTTATTTTTAAAGTCTGTATTGCAGGTATGAAGATGGGGATGGGGATGGGAATGACATACTTACCCCTGATTCGACCTATCGCCATCCATATACAAAGGTATTAAAACCTTGTAAGTGCACAAATCAAATGATAGTATAGCAAGTAAACAAGGGTCATTCCCATAGAGATTGTAATCTAAAGAGATGTTTATCAATGTCACACAATGAAAACTAAAACACAATTAAACATGAAAACAAAATAAAGATTGAAACCACAAGGACTTCCACACACACACCAACACCAAGGGGGGGTTTCGATTTGATTTTGTGAATAAAACAAAATAAGGAAAACAAAATAAAACAGAATTTAAATTAGAGTTTAAGAGAAATTGGTTTAAAATCAATCAAGAACAATAGCTAGGACTTATTATCCACCTCCAAACAATCAATCAATCCATAAACAATAATAGATAATCAATTTCTAGCAAGCATATGATGATGACACTCACAACAAGATCATGGCATTTGACTCAAGTTGTATGATTCTCTCTTAAGTGTTTGTAAAGTCTATGTCATTTACATCAATACGTGTATTCTTAATTGAAATCTAGTATGACATTTACTCACATTAACAATCAAGAATCCATTAAGATCAAAGAGAATATGAGTGTCACAAAAACCCTAAAACATGGCATTTGTTATTAGAAATTCAAGAATCGATTTCTCATAACTAGTTCTTAACCCAATTATTCGTTGCAAACAAGAACACATTCAACATGGAAATTGACCTATGTTCTACAACAATTTAATTCCAATACATGCTTCAAAGTTAGCTATTACAACATAGAGAAACCAAAATCATCACGCTTGTAGAAACTGAAAATCCATTCAAACTTGTTTATAAAATTGAAATCATGTTTAGGGCTTCAAGATTAAGCCCTAACTAACAAGAAATTAGTTACTCATGTTCTTGGATGAACTCAAAAATAAATACATAAGAACTGAAAAGTAAAAGAAGGAAGGAAAAGAAAGAACTCATTGGCAGCTTTCTCCTTTTGCGCAGTTGGTCTCCTTAGGACGTGAATATTTTGTATGGGGGCCTTGGCTGGCCTTTTATATCACTTAAATCAGAGTTTTAAACCCTAAAATTGACTGAAAAGTCGTCCAATAAGTCTTGGTAAACAATGAATCCAAATAGGAAAGTAAAAATCACAATTCCTAACTCCACAGGGAAATACAGCTCAGTCCAATTGTCACACGATTTGGGGATCTTCGGCCATCTAGAAAAATTAGTAAAAATATATTTTAGAAAGATAAATGTCTTATCTTTCCAACCATATATAGCACGTAACTTGGAAAATTCTGGAAGGCTTCCATTTCTTCACATTCATGTAACATGTACGAAACTGTCCTGTCTGCACGTGGGCTAATTTTACTTGTAATACTGTACCAATTGGCTTGGTAGAAAATTCTAGCAAAATCATAGATTGAACTTCAAGATGTTAGATTTCATCTCCAATTGGCCTTGTGCTAAAATTCCTCCGAAAAGTTGATTTTCCCTTAAAATCCTTCTAAAAGTGCAGAAAAATTAAAAATCAGAAAAGTAAAGTAATAAGCCCCTTTTAAATCTAATTCTCCTACAAAACCTAAGTAAAAAGAGTACATAAATGAGTATATTTATGGACTTATCAAAAGGCAAAAAGAATGAGCTATATATACGCATAATATATATAATGTGCTCTCTTCAATGTATAATATAAATAAAAGTTGTTGATGCTCTTTTTGGGAGGTCAACTTAGAGAGAAGATTAGAGTCTTCAACAGGGGAGAAGGTGAGGACCTTTGGAATGAGAAGAACCTGCATAAGGAAAAGTGGAAGAAACAGTCGTTAAGCTTCAGACATCGGTGTGGTGCCGGCCGAAGACTCTCTGATGCTTAAGTCAGCTATGAGTGGTAAATTTGGCAGAGTAACAGTAAAGGTGAGAAAGTAGTTACCCTTTTTACTTGGGTACTGTTCCCTATTTATATGAAAGTGAAAATTGGAGCTTTGCACAAAGTTTCAATGTGGGACTTTGTGCAAGTTGCTGTGGTGGTGACACGTGTCATTGGAGATTAGGTTCGGCAGTCGGAAGCTTCAACAGTCGAAAGCTTCTACAGGTGTCTACTGCTTCGGAAGAGTGTATTCCTTCGGCAGGAGAGAAGGCGTGTCTGCCTTGGTGCTAGTCGTTTTGATGCTGGATATGCTCGGTTGATTATGGTGTAAATAAAAGTACTTTTCCATTGCATACACTTGCAAATATATAAAAACAACATATTCAAAAACTGAAATTTCTGAGGTAAATTGAACTCAATTTCATTCCATGAGGACTAAATAATTACATCGTCTGTCTGATACACAAATAGTCCCTCAATTACATGTTTTTTTTTTCCTTATAACTACAGTACACTTCCTGCAACTAAATGGAATGTTGTCCCACCCCAAATTGATGAAGGTTCTCAATGACTACAATCTTCTAAAAGACAAAAATCTAGGTCCAACTGTCATGAGAAAAAAAAGAAGAAGTCAATTATCTCAAGACTTAAGAGTTAGGGTTTCGAATCACTAGAGACCAAGCTTCGTGGCATGATCTCGTACTCTACCAATTGTTGCTTCACCTTCAAATTCATCCATCATCTTCATCTACATATATAAATATGTATATACAGAGTAATACAAAAGACAAATTGGTATTAATGAGGTACATCTTTGATACGCTCTATTGGAACCATCATTTTCCTTTTATTGCTACATATGCAGATGCGCAAAAGCACAAGCAAGCCCAATTTAAACTCTCCTACTTACGTATCAAGAAAAGACAAACTTAAACTCAAAGTAGACTAAGTTTCTTATAAAAATAGAGTTCATCGTTTTTCGTCTGTGCTTCATTTGCAACTTATAACTCACATGGTATCCAAAATTTCAAGCAGTGCATGACAACTCAGTCAAGTTAACTCCAGAATAATGAGAGAACAACAATATTAATCAATGAAAGAATTATGCAAGAGGCTGATCATTGATCAACAACATTAACTCCAAAACATAGACACCACAGAGGTATGCAGTACAATTTACTTTCATTCAATTTCTACACAAAAATAATCTTTTAGATTGATATAGCCATTCATTGCAAACTAAAATTTCACAGCCATTAGAATAATGTCAAGAGGAGGAGTATCATATCACCTCAGAATTGGAAAACATCTAATGGACGAGGAAAAGCAAACCTACTAAGCACAAGACGAAAGGCCTTACTGCTCAAGCTTGATCAGCGCACATCTACATGGACGTTAACCCCCGTATGATCATATTGCTTATTTTTTCTATTCTCGGCATTGGCTTTGCACCATTTATGTTTTAACGGCATACATGAATTGTTCCAAATTAAAAACTTCAAACCACAGGTCCTAATTATAGGCAGTAAATTATGACGTAATAAAAAATAGCCATTGGAGTCGAATCTAGGGAGCTGAAAGCATCACAAGGCTCAAAGAAACCAAATCAGGGGACCACATACAACAGAGGCAGTAGTGCTAGCTAGTACTGCAGGGCAGGGTATGGCAGGGCAGGGCATGGCAAGGGACATTTTGATGCAAATGCTAGAGAGATAGACCCTTTCTTTTACGTAATTGAGGAAGAGGAAGCAGCAGCAAAACCTGGCCATGTGAAGCAGCAACATCAGACCCTTTCTATGTTTCTTTTGTTTGCTCACATACTTTTTTGCCATATCATAGCCCTTAGAATTCCTGCAAAATAATATTCTCAATTTCACAATGACACAAAACAGTGTAGCATTAACTTGTTCACAGCACAAGTTAAATGGCGACGTTGAAACGAAAGAAACTCAAGACATGACACATAAGTTGAAAAATAAGAAAATAAATCTAATAGAATTCCAAATATCAAATGACACAACCAAGTATCCATTCACTATAAACTGACATAATATGGCACTTATGCAAGTCTTCATGTAAAAACAGGGACATGTCTTAAGCATTGTTAAAAGGTAATCAAACTAATGTCAACGGTGATCTAACAAAACCATTATGCACTGTAAAGACATCTTCGTAAACAAATTATAATAAAACTCACATGTTCTTCCTTCCATTTAGATGGGTTCATTGGGTCCTCCTAGAAGTTCACCTTTAAGTATATATCATGAGAATTGTCCCAATTGGTTTGTATCTCAAAGAAAACCAAAGTGCGCTCATTAAGGTGATTCATCGAACACCTGCAGACCATTTTTTTCATGCATTCATCAACTCAACCTAACCAAACAAATAGAACCATATATTTAGAACAAGCAAATAAGCATGATAAATAAAACCATGTACCAAGAATTTGGATTTTGAGCAACTTTCTAGACCACTATATGAAATTGAAACAAACGGAAGAAAACACAAATAACATATGGGTATGAAAGTAAAGGCGAAAAGCTAAGTTGGGTACCTGAGACGTCATTTCTAGGTATATGGATTTCAGGAATGCTAAAGAAAATTGAGAAATTTGTTGACCCGGAGGGGAAGAACGGCGGTTGAAACAAGTGACAAAGAGTGAGAGATGGAGGTGGAGAACAGTAGTCGAAAGAGAGAGAGTCAGGTCGCCGTCGCCGATGTGGGTTATGAGGAGGTGACAAGTGAGAAGGTGAGAGAAAACAAAAGAGAGGAGAGGTGAGTGAGTGAGTAAGCGAGAGTGAGAGCTTTGAGCTCAGAACCACAAAAAAGAGTGACACAAGGGCAATACACAGACATTAGGGAGGTTTTATATGGGGCACTTGTGATTAAGTTTCAAAAAGGGGATATTAGAGCACTTCCAGCAGTTTGTCCTTTGTCGTGGCAAGAGGGGGGCTAGGGCAGCTACTATTCATGTGAATAGTGGCTGCTGTTGCTAAAAGCAATGTGTTTTTCCACCAGTTGCTATGGCAAAGGGAAAATTTTTATTCCTTTTTTGTTTTTTCACAAATTCTTTTTACCTAAACAATTAATTTGGATAATATTTTCAGATAAGATTTTTGGGTTCCTACATGTCAATACTATTCATATCTCATAATCGGATAAAATTTTCGGATAAGATTTTCGGTTTCAAATTTCAGATAAATTTCAAAATCAATACAACTAATAAAATAAAGGGAGTTTCACTAAAACACCCAAAATGGGAGCTGAAATTATAAAAAAATCCAACACCCAAAACACTTTATAAACACACCCAAAACCCATCATTACACACACTCAAAACCCATTTATATACACACCCAAAAAATATACAATTGTTGACTTTGGGGTTGATTTTGGGTGTGTTTTTATGTTTAAATAATGTTTGGGTTTTTTTATAAATACATGTCTAGGATTGGGTTTATTTATAAATTTGTATAAAATAAAATACATGAATTACAACTAATTTTTAAAACAAAACATTAAAATACAATGAAATGAAAGACAACCAAACTAACTTAATGGTTTTGATCATTTAAACAATCCATGTTGCTAGGTCCATTGTCACGAAAAAGTCTTCGTCTCATAACATCCCTTCGTTCTAGCTTCCAAAATTGTTTTGTTTCAGGGGACATATGACTTGTATCCCTGGCCATGGTTTCCCGATCATTCTTCTCAATGTTTTGTTTGCGTACATACTCCATTTCTTTTGCATATTCTACTTGAAATGCCTTCTCATCTTCTTGATTTTCATGTCTATTTCAATCCTCAGGGCGCTTTGCCTTGCAATTTCCTCTAAAAATTTAGATGTATTATTGGTAGAATTACTCCCTCACTTCGCCTTCACTGCCTTCCTCCCAGTAGGCCTCGACTCCCTTTGGATGTGTGAGTCTTGACTAATAGGGGAATCCGATGCCGGTGAGTCATGGAGTGACGTCTTGTTCAACACCACTGTTGGACTCGTTGGAATAATTCGAAATTTCTTACAATTCTTCACCACCTCTCAACATTGGGTATGGTTGCAAGTTTTTTTGCCTTACCCAATAGCACCATTCCACATTTGTGTTTATATAATCTATATAAAAAATATATATATTGGAAATGGAAGAAACTTAAAAAAATATTGGCAATGCAACAAATATAAACAAAATTATGGAAATGCAAGAAATTTTAACAATTTATTGGAAATGCAAGAAATATCAACAAAATATAGAAATTGCAAGAAACATTTAAATAAATATTGGAAATACAAGAAATATTAACAAAATATAGAAATTGCGAGAAACATTTAATTAAAAATTAATAGGACATTAAAATTAATAAAACGAAAATTACAAATAATTTACCTCATTGCTAAGATTTTCCTCGCTTATATGGTTGTCCATCATTTTTGCCAAGGCATCTCTCTATTTCTCCAACTCTTTATTGAGAATTTTCTACCTACTAGATAATGCCATTTCCGTACGGGTAGAACTCGATCATTCACAAAATTCAGCTTGAATTTTTTTCAACATGTTGATGCTCTTTTTGGGAGGGTCAACTTAGAGAGAAGTGGAGTGTCTTCAGCAGGGGAGAAGGTGAGGACCTTTGGAATGGGGAGAACTTGCAGAAGACAAAATGGAAGAAGCAGTCGTCAAGCTTCGGACACCAGTATGGTGCCTGCCAAAGGCTCTCCGATGCTTAAGTCAGCTATGAGTGGTAATTTTGGCAGAGTAATACTAAAGGTGAGAAAATAGTTACCCCTTTTACTCGGGTACCGTTCCATATTTATAGGGAAGTGAAAGTGGAAGGTTTGCATAAAATTTCGATGTGGGACTTCGTGTAAGTTGCTGTAGTGGTGACACATGTCCTTGGAGATTAGGTTCGGTAGTTGGGAGCTTCGGTAGTCGGGAGCTTCGGCAGGTGTCTACCGCTTTGGGAGAGTGTCTTCCTTCAGCCGGAGGGAAGGCATGTCTGTCTTGGTGCTAGTCATTTTGATACTGGATCTGCTCAGTTGATTATGGTATAAACAGTAGTCCTCCAAGCTCGCGGTCAAGAAGTAACTTATGGGTTGGGAACTTGTGAGATTTTTGTGTAATCATGACCCAGCATTCCAGATTCAGTGGGAGCTACAGGGCATTCCCTAGTCCCTCAAGTTGGAAAGTTAGAAGTTGCGTCAACCCTTGGAAGGGATGGTGAAAGTTGTGTGAGCTTCTAGAATTGTTGATGGCTGGGTACCTGGGTGTCTTGGCAAGGGCTCAATGAATTGGAGCTGGGCTTCGTCAGCGCCATTCTATCTGGTAAGGTTGTCTTCGGCAAGGGTAATAGATAGGTCCTTGGTCCCTAAGATGCAACACCACACTTAGTTTTCAAGGCATTTAATGGCTTAAGTAAGGCCCTTCCTTTTGCATGGCCCTTGCCGTTCAGCAAGACCCCCACTTTTATTTTTATTTTTTTATGCCTTGGGCCTTTGGTAATTTCAGCATGATCCTTGTCATTCGGCAAGTCACCAAGATAGCCTGGGTTTTCGGTAAGGAGTGCCGTGTGGGACTTGTGGAGCTGGGATTGGGCTTGGCCATTGGGGTTGGGCTCTTGGGATGTTGTTAGATCTTGGGTTTTGGGAGAGGTGTGCATGTCCCTTTTACATAAGACCTCCGGCCGTTCGACAGGGTCTTCTTCCTATTGCTAGAGTGTTCCTTTAGCAAGGTCACACGATAAATTTTGCAAGGGGCTGGGCAAGGTCACCGTCTTCAAGATCCGGGTCAGAGCTTAAGTGGGATTGCGTATTTAGGCATTGGATCGAGCCTTGCCGCGTTCGGCACGGCTGATTAAAAGGTATTTTCGTGAGATCCAGTTTGTCTCAAGGTGATCCCTTGGTGTATTGTATTTTCGTGTATCCCTCACTTCAACATGTCCCTTGCCGTTCGGCAAGTGGAGTTTCGAAACATTCTTGGTCTTCGGCAGCTCAGCAGGGGAATGGTTTAGGGAATTAGGCCTTCGGCAAAGGTAGAACGTTTTTCGAGTTACGTCTCTTTGGGGTTTCGGCATACATTCCTTCGGCAAGGTCTTTTTGAAGGGTGTCGTTCGGCAGCACATGTGGAGATAAGATTTTTCAAAGCCTCCCTTTGTTTGTTCAACCCTTGCCGTTCAGCAAGGGTTGATTGAGTAAATTTTTGTTTTTGAGGGGCTTTGTAGTTCTGCAAGTATTTTGATTCGGCAAAGTTGTTTGTTGTTTTATGAAATTTGGGAACCAACTCTTTCCGTTCAGCAACAAAAGAGGTCTTCTCAATCTTGGTAGGTGGAGCTGGGCCTTTGTCTCGTTTGGCAAGAAGCCAAACTGGGTTTACGATTTTGGACCGGTTTGGAGCTGGGCTTCGAAAGGTTCCGCAGGTGAGCATTGGAAAGGTCGGATTCTTGAATTCCTCAATTTCTTCTGCGTGCTTCTTGCCGTTTGGCTGGTGGGCATTAAAAAGGTCGGATTGGTGAGGCTGCTGGGCTTGACCTTGTTCTGAAAGGGGTCGGGGCTCGGGTTTTGGTCAAGAATTTTGGCAAGATATGATTAAGGGCTTGGAGCTGGGCCCCTTTGTCGTGTCGTTGAAACTTGGATTGAGTAACACTCGGTGAGACTTTTTGCAAGTCCCCCCCTTTTTCTTCTCCACGGGCCTTGCCGTTCGGCAAGGCCTTTACTTCCTTTCTTCATTTGTTTTTAATTTGAATTTCAAATTGTGGAGCACACAAGGAATTTGAGAGTGAAGGTGAAGGGGTGCTAGGATTTTCTCGTGAATCAGCATTGGTACCCTTGAGGCTTTTATAAATAGAAGCTTGGGGGTGAAGAAGGTATCACACTTGTGACTTTGAGAAAAATTTCTAGAAAGTGAGAAGGAGATGAGGAAATTTCAGCGAGATACACTAGTGGTGGTGCTGTGGCCAAGGTGATTTCTAGTGTCTCCTTCATGGTGGTGCGAACAAGGTTAGACCTCATTTCCTTTGAACTTTTGAATTGAAATGTCCTTATTGGTATGAACATGTTGAAGACTAGGATGAACACCTTGAATATGAGTATGAACGTGATGAACACCTTGAACATTGATATGAACTTGTTGAATGTATGCTTATAGATCAAAGAGCATGTAGGTGTGCCATCCTTTTTGTGTTCTTGTGTTTCAATCCTCTTTACATGTGCATTAGTTCCTTTTCCTTGTTTCTACATATTGTAGTTTGAAAATTCTGGCAAAG